ACGTGGGGTAGCGAGACTGACAGTTATGACATCCCGGGGCGAGAAATGTGATTGATTTGAGCCGGAGCTCGTTCCTTAGATTCTAAGGCTTCTAAGCCTCCAGCATAATCGTCGCCATCATTCGGGCTCAGAGCAATGTTTGACTCCAGGGAAAGACCACTAGACTTAGATTGGGAAACAGATGAAACCCTGTCATCACAATTTTCCCACTGCATTATTTTCTTGGATAGACTCTCTAGGAATTCCCAAGCTTCATCGGCGTTTTTCCTCATAAAATCTTCCTGACACATCGATTCTAAAGATGTTTTTGAAGAATAATCCAATCCTTCATATATGACTTGGCACAATCGTCATTTTTCTAGACCATGATGAGAACATTGGATTAAAAGATCTTTAAATCGGTCAAAGTATTTCCAGAATGGCTCTCCTGGGACAATTTTGAAATTCTGAATGCTGTTCCTAAGCTTTACCGTTTTGTGAATAGGGAAAAATTTCTTGAGAAAAACGGTGACAAATTCCTCCCAAGTTGAGATGAAATTTGTCGGTAAGCTGTACAACCATTTTTTAGCTTTGTCCTTTAGAGCAAATGGAATAAATCTAAGCTTAATCGCATCTTCGGTTAATTCTCTCATTTTTATCATAATACATACTTCCTCAAATTCCGAGATAAATATATATGCATCTTCTGTTTCATTACCTAGGAATTTGGGAAGCATGTTAATGAAATACGGTCTAAGCTCGAAATTTGCTCCATTTATTTCGGGGAGTCTTATGCAAGATGGAATTGCATTTCTGGTGGGGTAACACATATCCTGAAGAACGGGCTGATTTGCCATTTCTTGGATTGGTTCAACACGGATTAAACGATGAAAATTATCCCGAACCCAAATTTGCATACACCAATTTTTTTTTTAAGGAAGAAAGAAAGAAAATTAGTTTTTTTAATATGAGAAGATAAAGAAAAAGAAAAATCCTAACTAAAACAAATCAAGACAATCACTTTTTAATCAACTCCAACTCCAGTGTTTAGCCTAACTCCACTAGACCAGCTCCTAACCAAAAATTCCTACAGTGAAAAGATCAAAGTTTTACCCAGATAGTTAGCCAGGTAAGGATAGTACTAGAGGGTGATCAAAGATCAATTAAGTACCTCTTTCCTTGCGGAGCGCTTTACGCAACCCCTAAACCTTGCCTTAGACACCAACTATTCTGTGAAAACTTAAACCGTTCACTTAAGGATTTTTGTTTCTTATTGAGCTCGAATCCTTAGGGGCCAACGTCTAATGAGTTTTAGAAGGTTTGGATTTGTGAAGTGAGGAATTAGTGATTTGTGGGCTAAGGAAAGGGTGATGAAATCCCTTACCTTATCTTGATTGGGGTTTTGCCCTTAAGAATGATTTAAGTGTGTGCCAAATCAAGTGCTACAATCACTTTGGTGAATTCCTACACTATATGAAATGCAACCCTAGAAATTAAAAGCGACTAAAAAGGATGGTAAAAAGAAAATCTTTATATTTTTTTAATTATGGTCAACAACAATCAAAAGTGAGAAGGGGAAAATTGTTTGAGTTTATTATCTTGTTAGTTAATATCTAAGTGAAAGATGGATTTTATTATGGTCAACAAAAATGAAATCTTTTTTTTAAATCCTAATTGTCTCTAATTGTGAAGCTAGCTAAAGAGGGTGGAATTGAAAACTAGAAAGAAGACTTACCCGAAAGCAATGCTCCAAATTCTTGATCTTCAATCCAAGATTTTCAAGCTCCAAGCGGTTCCTTCACAAGAAAAATACACAAGTTAAAGAATCAAGTTAATAAAATCCTATTTTAGCACCTTTTCCCCGGCAACGGTGCCAAAAACTTGGTGCGGCATAATTATGTACCAAAATTACAAGTGCACAATTTATCAAGTTATAGTATAAAAAGATATCGATCCTACGAGGAAGGTGATTTTAAGAGATTATTAAACTTGGTTCTTATATTTTGTGCGTGACAATTAGGAATAAAGAATAAGTGTGATTGTATGAGTGATTATTTGTGAATATATGCAAAATAATAAATTGAATTTTAGAGGAGAGAATGAAGAATTAAAGAATAAATGAAATCACAAGATTTATTAAGCATAGATTATCAAACCATTTAAGGAAAGTGTAACCTATCAAATTATCATCTAAGCTAAAATTACTATTCATGATAAGAACAACAACATGATAATAATCCTAGAATTCATAAGCATAACCTATCAAACCATTTAAGATAAGCATAGATTATCAAATTCTTCTTCTACCGATTAGTTCTCTAGTTGATTATCCTAAACATGAACATTTTAAGTACAAGAGAATAATTCATACAATATAAAAGAAATTAGACTAGTTTCATACAATTCTAAGATTCCTACAAGAATTAAATTCACATCTTAAGAAATAAAAACAAGAAAAAGAAGACTAATTACAAAATTAAAAAGAAAAGAAAAATCTAAACTATGAACAAGAAATAAATCTAATTACAAAGAAAATAAAAATCTAAACTACAAAATAAATTGCAGAAATTAAATGCAAGAAAAATAAATCTACTCTACAAATTAAAGTGCAAAAAGAAAATAAAAAAGACAAGAAAGTAAATCTATACTACAAGCATGAATTTAAATCTAACTAATAAGCAATAATAAAGAAATTACTAAAAAGAAATAAAAGAGAAAAGAAATGCAAACCTTCAAATTGCTCTTCATCTCCATCCTCATCATTCAACAAAGAGGAGAAAGAACAAATTTAAAGAGGAAAAAATTATTTTTATTAATTGCAACTAAAGTTACAATTTTTGGAAGGCCTTCTCAATTAAGAGTAGCCCTCCTCTCCAAAAGGAGTTTACAAAATTTTCACACCTCTAACCCCTCACTCTCTACCCCTATTTATAGTAAACATCAGTGAATGAGAGCCATTGGATTCAAATCTTATCCAAAACCAACAAAAATCAGCCATTGGATTGTAACTGCCTGGACGTCCGTATCGATACCCGCATCGATAGGGGTATCGATGCGGGCATCGATACAGGCATCGATGCGGGCATCGATGCCCCCATCGATGCAGGCATCGATGCCTGCTCTTCTCCTGTTGCTGTCCGCAGAACTCTTGTATTTTGCTTTTTGGGCTTGTGTCTTGGGCTTTGACTTGGACTTTTGGGCTTGGCATTTTCTCTTGATTTTCCATTGGGCTTTGAATTATTTGAAAGAATTCCTTTGGCTTCATGGGCTTCATTTCTTGATTAAATCAAGGGGTTTTTGTTGAGATATTGGAGTTTGAGATTTATTCATCATTAACCTGCAATTAACAGATAAAAGCAATTATTTGTGGTATATTTATTCATATAAAATAGATAATGAGGGTATAAAAATTGTAATAAAATGTGATTATCACTAATTGTTGGTGGTGGTTATATTCATGTTGCTAATTTTTTTCCTTGGCTATTTGTGCTCAGATTGAGTTAATGGTTGGCTTCTTATGGTATGTACTGCTCGGTTTGAGCTTAGTGTTGGATAACCTTATTTGGTTCAGTTCTAAGCTCTATTTGAGCTGATGGTGCTATTTTTGATATTATCATGTTGATTTTGAGCTTGTTTAGCTCTATATTGTGATGTTTTCGGTTTAGTTCTGAGTTCTTTTTGAGTTGATGGTGTTGTTTTTTATATTTTCATGTCGATTTCAAGCTTGTTTAGCTCTATGTTGTGTGGGAATAGGTGCTGTTTTGAGCTCTGTTTGATCTGTCTGGTGCAGATTTTGATATTTTCATGATGATTTCGAGTTTGTTTAGCTCTATGTTAAGATCTTTTTGGTTCAATTTTGAGCTCTATTTGAGCCGTTGGTGCTGTTTTTGTTTTTATTATGCTGATATTGAGTTTGTTTGAACTAATTTGAGTTTTTTGGCAATGATGATGGTCAACTAAATAAGTTTGCAAACTAATTTACAATATTCATAATATTATAAGACGTTCTTTGCTACATTATTAGAACGAATCTATGTGCACTTGTACGTTTCAGTTAAGGCAATCAATTTTGATAAAAAGACCAATGGCTGAGCTAACTTACTACATGAAAATATCAAATTACGATGTGAAATTGCCAAAGTGGTACATGAATCTATGTGAACTTGTACATTTTAGTTGAGGCAATCAATTTTGATAAAAAAAAACCAATAGCTGAGCTAACTTACTACATGAAAATATCAAATTACAATGTGAAATTGCCAAAGTGGTACATGATTTGTTTAGATCATTGATTTCGATCTAACCAAAGTAAATAAACATCTAGTCTACAATGCTGGTCAATCTTGTCTTTACCCATGCTGGGCACAGACCTATTGTTACCAACATCTATGCGCGTGACTTAAGAGATCATTCATGTTCCAATTTGTGTAGGGGATATCGTTGCAATAGAGACACTTCCACTACCCGTTTCAGTTTCTAACATTCAAAGCATTGGCTCTTAGCATTATTTCTACTTCTTCTATTATATCCCACATCTCATCACGCTCTCGATCTTCATTTGTAAATGAAAATAATTCTTCATATGTTGGTTTTTACGGTAGTTTTCCAGCACACTGATTTCAAAAAAGAAAAAAACAAGTCTCTGTACATTAGGAAAAAAGTAATAGACTTTATAGTTTTTTTTAATCAAAAAAACATACATTTGGATTTGATGAACTTGACCAGTCTTTTACTCATGTTTTTTAACTATAAAAATTTTGTGTTCATGGATAGCTAAAAGAATAGATGAATTTTATAAGATTTGAGCATAAGCCCTCCCCCAAACTCGAATCGATGAGAGGCGACGAGATCTCAGCGTCAATCGCTCACCTGCTCATTCGCCATCCCATCACCGACGACGACGACGACGAGCTCAGCGGCTTCGACCTCCCCCTCTCCCCTCCCTCCTCAAAACTAACTCATTTGGGGTGGGTTCTTGGACGCCGTGGAGGGGAACTGGA